AAACTCAGAAGAGTTGTCTAACCACAAGTTATTGTTTCTTGCTATATACTTCATTGATGGATGGAGATGTTAATAAAAATAAAACACTAGCTTGTGACTACTTTTAGTCTTAAACTTTCTCCCACTTGTTCCTTTAGCTCTGGGCTCCCTTTGCTGTCCTGTGGAAGCAGTGGGAGCGCCTCACCCAGCACAGCTGTGAGCTCCCCCGCCGTGTCCTACCAGCTCAACATTGGTGAGTCCATCACCAACCGACGAGACTCCACAACAACCTTCAGCAGCACCATGAGTTTGGCCAAACTCCTACAAGAGCGGGGCATCTCTGCTAAAGTGTACCACAGCCCAGTGTCCGAGAAGCCCCATCTCCAGCCGCTTCTGAAAACCCTGGCTACACCTTCCACACCACCAAATTCTCCGTCTCACTCACCATGCCCCTCTCCTATGCCGTTTGAGTCCCGGGTGCATCTCTCTGAAAATTTTTTGGCTTCTCGGCCAGCTGAAACATTCCTCCAGGAGATGTATGGTTTGAGACCTTCCCGGAATCCTCCTGATGTGGGGCAGCTGAAGATGAACCTGGTGGACAGGCTGAAGAGGCTAGGCATAGCCAGAGTGGTCAAGGCTCCCGATGCACAGGAGAATGGGAAAAGCCAAGAGTCAGAAGTTGGTCTTCACAAAGCAGACTCTGCTGTATATTTAAATTCAAGTAGCAGTTTACTGGGTGGGCTGAGAAGGAATCAGAGTCTTCCAGTCATGATGGGGAGCTTTGGTGTTTTAGTGTCCACATCCTCACCCAGAATGGGCATCCTAAAGGAGGACTAGGGCTCAGTGGGAACTGACCTTTGGTACAGGGTGGCACATGAAGGGCAGATGTGTACTGATCCTGTAGCTGACTAGAGAAAAAGGGAATGTTGCAGAAGGTTGTGGATGTGGAGAGAGGGATATGGAGAGTTGGGAACAAAGTTGGACTGAAGTCCTCAGAAATGGAGTCTGGTAAGCTGAAAGTATAAATGGATGGGCCTGGAGTGTCTGGAGACCGGAAAAGGTTCAGTGCCCTCCTTCAGTTGGGCGTTCTTGTCTTGAAAATCAAAACTGAGTAGAGAATAAATTCTATAATATTGAAACCTACCAGAAGTACCTGCTCTTCCATTGAGCTGAGCAGGATACTTGCCCAGGATAGGAAGAGGACAGAGCAGCAGGGACTGCTGCTGGTGAAAGCTGCTGTATAGGCAGGCATGGCAGACTGGGTCTGTCCCTGCGGTAGATGGTGATGAGAACCCCTGCTTCCCTGCTGGTGTTCAGTGAAACTGCATGGACATCTGATGTGTACACACAGCACTAGCAAGACAAAGGTTTTTATGTATTTTGTTAGATCAAAGTACAGACTTTTTTCTGTTTTCAGTTTTAAGCCACTGGGAACCCAATATCAGCTAAATTCCTTTGTATTTATGATTACTAAAAGTTCATTTTTAAAATTTGTATTTTTATACAGCATCAAAAACAACATGGATAAGGGTTAGGAGAGATTTACTTTAAGAAGGAAAATATGAGTTATTTAGAACCAAGGAACCTTGTTTCTATAATTATCTAGGTAATGCAGTACCCAAGTAATACAACCCTAACTTCCGTCCAAACTCCTTAGAGGCTGGAAGGGTTAAACCAGAAGTGCAATCTATAGAAATTAGATTATGTTGTATATTTACATATTTAATTTTTTTCAAAGTGCACTATGCATATTTTTAATGAAGATTACATATATTTGCACAATAATTCTCAGGCACATTAAATTATTATAAATGAAGTAAAACCCAGGTGCTTGCTTTAAGAGTGTATGGTTTTTGGTGTTTTCCTAATGTATATTAAAACACATCTGCCTCATTCTTGGGTATCTGTAGAATTAAAGAAGGAACTTTTTAAGAGTTAAAACTTCTCTGAGGTTCTTTTTTACTAACTGAAATGACAGATCGAGATTGTAGATGAGGGGTCAGCTTGTAGCAGGGTGGCACAAAGCTATTTTGGGAGAAAGCTTCCAAGCAGGGTCTGCTCTTGGCCGGTGATCTAGTTCTGTTGAGAAAAGGCTGTGGTAAGAAGATGGGGGAGGTGACACATTCTTTTGCTGATAAAGACAGATGGATCTCGTAATCTTTTGGATACTTCTTTCACAAGTGTTTTGCTCCTTTAACCTGACGTAGCTAACAGGCAATTTTTTAAAGAATTCTTGACACCTGCTCTCTCCCCCTGTGTACCTTAATCCTAGCACATGGGGGTCCTCCTTTTCTTCACCTGTGCTACATCCCCTGCATGAACAGCCTATGCTCCTGAGAGTAGGGAAGCCAGCATGTACACAGTGGTGAGAGAATGTGCATTTTCATGATTTTTAGCGTTTTTTATTAACTTCTAGATTTCTTAAAAATAGATGGAGGGTGTTCTCCTCCCTTTCTCCTTCCCCCCATTTTGGGTCTGCACGCACTTAGAAGAGCTCCCAGGTCAGTGTGCGTCCCAGGGTGGTCCAGGCACTAAAACAGGGTAATTCCTGGTGTTTAACATTTCTAAATCTTCCAGTTCACTTTTTTAAAAAACAGCCTTTTAATTTCTATTCTAAGGGGCCGGGGAGACAGCTCAGTGGCATAAGCACCTGCCTGGAATGTGCAAAGTCCC